ATCGTTCATTAGTGGATGTTATTTCAAGATATAGAAACAGTCGTGTAGTCAGCAACAGCCCATCAGTGTCGAAAAGATTCAAACAGATTCAAAGGTTTAATGCATTGTTGTTTACACTTTTCAGCCACGGCACATCTAAGGATATTCTATGACACACAGTTTGGACAACACTGGTTTAGGGTGAGCTAAACGATTTTTTATGGATGTACGCAAGCAAAGCTTTTTTGGATTAATTGATTTTATTGAGGAAAAAGAGATCTTATCCAAAAACATCGAGGAAGGTATAACAGAGGAGTAATCACAGTATTTATTCAATATTAAGTAATTTTTGAACTATTTTCAATTCTAGAGGATTCTTAATTATTAAGTAACACTTCTAAGAGGAGGGGTGTGGATATGTCTTGAAGAGCATATCAAGAGTAGATAGGCCTGAACATAAGGCCTACAGTGAAACTGGTTGTTTGTGTATGACGAATAGTCGAAGTGAGATAAGTACCTCGATGTCCGAGTGGCAGGGATCTCTAAACGATTGAACTCAGAAATCGGCTCTTTTGAGGCCGTGGGTTCGATTCCTATCGAAACAGACTTGTTTCACATTAGTAAACACACATACAGCAGTTCTAGGGAGACATATACAAGGGGAGAAAGAGATCTTTATTCCCAAAATATGCTGAATATTTTTTTAAAAAAACACGCTTGTTAACTTAATTCCGATTAAAACCATAATTTAAATTCTTCATTCCTCATTTTCTATATCAAGCGAAATAATCGATTTTAAACATGCAAAATTCAAAAAATCTAGTTTAAATCATGCATTGATAATTTATGCAAATTCATTGAAAATTTTGTCAATGTTGATATTTGAATTTTCATGCACGACCTGCTTTTCAATAATTTTTTAATATTTTCTGCCTCATTTTTTCCTATTGTCATGATAATCCAAAATTTAATATAAATTTTCCCAATATTTAACATTTTAGCGAACAATTCATTTTATAGCATGGCAAATAACAGTCGTGTCTAAAATAAAATATAATATTGTAAATTGTAAAATGCAAATCGAATAATATTTTTTTGTTGTGTGTGGAAATTATTGACTGAATAGCTTTTTGCAATGATTCACATTTGAGCACTTACTTAATGCACACAATTCAATGGAAATATATATAATGCGGATTAAATGCAAATTTTATATATATTATATCATTGGATTGTGCAGTAATGCTATTTAAATTAATTTTCTAGAGTTTCGATGGAAATGAAAATTAATGAGTTTGTGGGTTTTCATCAGTTTGAACTGTAATTTCTATTGATTTTGATTTTAAACTTTGATTTTTAATCCATTAAAATATCAATTTACATTTATTTTGAAAATATAATTAACGAAGTCAATTTACTAATTGCATCTGGTGAAATTATATGAATAGGAATAGAGATAGAACTATTATGAGACATAGGTTTAGTTTGATTGGATGGATGGCTGGCTGGGTGACACGAGTGCTCGAAACTGGAAGCACTTGGAGACTTCTGTTTTTTTGTATTAGAGATCGTTCAATAATGACGTCAATGGACGTGGAACAATGGATTTCCAGAAATTTCTATTGTTGTTTTCTTGCTGTGTCCCCCCCCCCCTAGGACGTCATAAGTGAACGGCCCCTTAAATAGCTGCTTATTCGAAAGTTTGGAGAATTTTTTTTTATTAATTAATTTGAAAAAAAAAATTACAACCCTCACCTATAAAGAGGGGTTGAAGTGTGTCATAGCTAAATTGACCATCTGATTGGTTTTTCAGAGGACAGTCTTCTTTTTTTTTAAACAAAATTTTTTTGTTTTGTTTAATTCGTCCAGAAAACGAATACAGTTGGCAGACACGTGGGATGTCTTCTATTTTACTTTCAGATCATCTATTTTTTCCATAATTATCTGGTCGCCCTAGTCTTAGCTCACATGGATCCTTCCCTGATTTATGCTCTTGCCATATCATGCAAATGGAGTTCGTAATCAATATCAGATGAATGTCCAATTTTTTTGTAATTAAAAATAGCCTCGAACCTAGTCATTACTCCCTCTTCTATGCTTTGTCTCGGCATTACTCCCAACTAAGCACAACCATTCCAAATAACTCACCTAAATATACAAAAAATAAACTACACTGCAGACATCCTTAACTCAATAAACTGTCTCGACACTAATTATTTCTTTTCGCAGAACTGCATTCGCTTGCTTCTTTTTCCTCGTTCTAATTAATTTATGCTTGTTTGCGTCATTTCAAAGAAAAAGATTGAAAGGAAATGAAATGCAAAATGTATGCGACACATTTATATGCGCAAATACATCTCAAGTTCCTTTTTTCATATCTCATGTATGCTGTTTTTTCAAAAAAGGTGGAAAATAATAAGGATGAGAAAAGGAATCAAATCAAAGTCGTAGCTATAGCAACTCTTTTAATTTTCTGCTCCAGACATGCATGCAGACATCATGATGATGGTGACAAATTTGTGAGTGATTTTCAAGTTTTCTTCTTTATTTTATCTGCAACTGCGTATGCTGCATTATGCATTGCTAGCGTTGTCTAGGAGTCAGAAGAAGAAAGCATGAATTAATTTCGTAAACAAGGATTTTTGTTGTCTTTCCGTTTGTTTTTTTTTTGTCATTAACTTTTGAGTGAATTTCATTTGAGAGGATGTCATTAGACAAGACTTTGTAATGTTAATTTTGGTGCCAAATCGGTATTAAGAGGTTTGAATCATATTGCTACTTTGAATAGGAGTTTCAATGGCTGTAGTGATGGATGGAGGTGGAATTGGGGTCAATATTCTTGCTAGACTAGGATTTTTAAGGTTTAACATCGATTAAGCTATAATTCTAAGTCAATCTCAACAAGGAAGTAACTTTAAATCACACAATTGTATCCACAAAAACTACTTAATGCTCACAACAACTTAATTCTTAATTGGAACATTTTTTTTTCTTAAATTTTAATTAAAACTAACCACAAAAATTCAAGCATGGCTGTCCGATGCAATTTCCATCTCCAACAACGAACAGCAAAAACAATAGAAAAGGACTAAAAAAGGAATTGTATTAAAAAAAGAAATTTGCATGAAAAGAAATCAGCACAAAAAAAAAGCCACAAAGCAAAACTGGGGATATTTTAATGAGAAAAAAATCTTTTGTGGTCAGACATTCGCTGTTTCCCTCCATCTACATAAAAAAAAATTGTACAAAGTCTTTTGTTTCATTGAATTTTATTTTATGTCATTCCTATTCTCTTTTCTCGCTTACATCACCAACAAATTGGAGAAAATGTACATCCAGCAGTGACTGTTTTTGGATACTCTCGACATTGCTTTAGTTTTTTTATCCTTGTTTATAATTTTTAGAGGGTTTGGTATAAGGATTGTCTATTTGTGGAAGCTTTGAGCATGCAGCTTAGATTATTAACGGAATTTAAGCATTTTGCGCATTTAAAAGTTCTTTGGAAAGCCTGAATTCCAGGAAATCAAGAGATAGGGTTAGGGTAAGGTTGGGGTAGGGTTGGGTATGGTTGGGTATGGTTGGGGTAAGGTTGGGGTAGGGTTGGGGTAGGGTTGGGGTAGGGTTGGGGTAGGGTTGGGGTAGGGTTGGGGTAGGGTTGGGGTAGGGTTGGGGTAGGTTTTGGGGTAGGGTTGGGGTAGGTTTTGGGTAGGGTTGGGTGTGGTTGGGCTAAGGTTGGGGTAGGGTTGGGGTAGGTTTTGGGTAGGGTTGTGTAGGGTTGGGTATGGTTGGGCTAAGGTTGAGGTAGGGTTGGGCATGGTTGGGGTAGGGTTGGGCTAAGGTTGGGGTAGGTTTTGGGTAGGGTTGAGGTAGAGTTGTTGTAGAATGTGGTTGTGGTAGGCTGCCCCAAACAGACCTTGAAACCGAGCCCAAATCTCCAAAAATCAAAACTGTCAATTTCATCAAAACAACACGCAATAAATTTCTAGTAAAAAAAAATTAAAAAATCATCGTCAAAAAGCAACTTTCATGTCATCGTTTATTCATAAAAATCATCCATTGAAGGATGATTGAGCGCAATATGTTAAAGATTTTCGTTCAATAGATTGCAATGAAACACAAAGAGCAGCAGCAGCGATAAAAAAAAAGTCTGTCCTGCTAAACAAAAAAGCAACTCATTTGTAATTAAACGACGAACGTCAGTGAAGCATGAAAAAGACAAGAATAAAAAAAGTTTCTCATTGTGTTCCTCAATCACAATTGAAAGTTTTGTTTTGTTCATGTTTGAGCTGTCATGTCATAAAATTGCTATTGAGTGGCAATACATGGAAACAATAAAACAATCTTCCTATTTTTTTCACATCCAGCTTTGAATTTAAAGTGTACGCATTTGATGGGGGGGGGGGGGGGGGTGGAAATTAAAAAGAATGACACGAGAGAAAAAAAAATGTTCAAACTTCCGCAATTGTGTGCGGCTTAAATTAAAATGTCAAAATATCGAGAAGGGATGCTTGTAATTTGAGAGCTTTTGACGTGTCTGTTTTCATATTTGCTTTTTTGTGTTCAATGTGCTTTTAAATGGTTTTGTTATGTGCTTTGTGCTTGAATAATTTAGGATTTGCGTGTTGCTGTGATATAATGGAAATGGCTTTTTGTTTGGGTTGATTAAATGTGATTTGAAGCTTTTGAATCAATTTTGAATCACTTATGTGCTAGAAAGTACCAGTTTGAAAATTGTAGTTTAAGTTGTAACGGTTAAATTTTTTTCTTGAATTTAAATGAAAAAATTTCAATTTGCTGATCAGAGAGACAGACAGTTTATAGTTTAAGGATCTATTTATATTTAAAAACTTAGCTGTAGTGCCTATTAAAAATTGAAACAATGAATTGAAAATTGATTTTTTTAAATCAAAGCAACAATCCAAAATTCATTAAATAGCAATCATTTAAAAAATTAATTTTCACAATCAAATATTTGGAATTGTTTTAAAAATTATCATTTATTCAAGTTTAAAGCCCTCAAAATGGAAACAATAATGGAAGAACCCGAAGGTAAACCACTTCTTATTTCAATTGACCGAAATAATTAATAACAACTCAATCATTTTCATTCGACTGTGCAGATACTTTTGTTGAAGAGGCAATTGAGGTACAAAATTCTGAAAATTTTGCTATGGACGACGAGAAATCTGAGACGTTTATAAAGACTGAAATATTCGATGATGATGTTGTTGAAATCAAACCTGTTGGTCATCCACAATTGATAGCAACAAGTAGCTACGTTGTTGAAACCAAGACCAAAATTGATCTCAAGAAGTTAAAAAATGTAAAAACTCGTCAAGCGGCAGCTGTAAAGTCAGTCGTTGAGCGTCCAAAAACTGCTCGAGAAAAGACCAAAATTAATGTGAATAGCACTGATTGGAAGCCTCATACACCTGGACATCTTCCATCCTATTTAAGGAAGCAAAAAGAAAATTCATTAAAAAGGTCAACAACTTTTCAATTGGATATGCCATGTGCAAATAATTCATCGACAAATGTTGGCGATTCTAAACCTCAACCGAAGGCAGCAGAGCAAGGTGATATGATTGGGTCATCCACATCTGTTCCATCTATCGACGGCGATCAAAGTATTGAAATTGAGAAAATCAAAGCTCAAAATTCAGCAAAACAAATGAGCATGAGGACTGAAATAATTGACTTGAAAATAAGAAATGACTCATTAGAGAAGCAACTTAATGAAGCTGTAGCTGCACGTGACAAAAGTATCAATGAACTGAAATCGAGCCTAGACAAGGTTCGATCCTTTGAAACGAAGCTAGGCGACAAACTCATTGAAATTCAGAGTAAAAATGAGCGACTTGAGAAATTAGAAATTGAAGTTGCAAATTTGATTAAGCACAAGCAAGACATGATAGTTCAAATACAGTCTCGAATTGAGGAAAATCAGAAATTAGAGAAGCGGATGGAAAAATTAAAAAATGAATTACGTGAAAAAAGTACGAGTTATGAGACATTGATGACTGAGAAGAGTCAGTTGGAAGTTAAATTGGAGGAGAAGCAAGTTGGAGATGGACTTGAAGGTAAGGATAATCTGTTTGATTTTGAAGGGAGATTTGTGGATTTTGGGAAAGTTTTGGATGTTCGGAATACGATTTTAAAGGCACTTGTAGCCTCACAAACTAGTCCCTGGTCGAAAACTATCAAAATAAGGTTAAGGTTAGGTTAAAGTAAGGTTAGGAATGTATAAAATCAAAATAGCTCAATTCTTTGTCTTGATGTCATTGTTATCAACCCTTTAGTCAGTCAAATATACCAAAATTCAATCTTTAGTTCCAATTAATCTCAAACTCCACATAAATGCCATAAAGATTTTTTTCATCCAAACTTCCATTTATTATTTTTTTTCCAACAGAACTCAATGTCCAATCAGCTGAGAAAATTGAAACATTAGCACATGAAAATGAAGCTCTCAAAAATGAATTGAATGGAAAAATTAATGAAGTTGATTCATTAAAGCAGGATAAGTTTAATCTGATTGGCGAAATTGTAAGTATCGGATCCAATTAATTGCTTAATTATGAAAAAATTCTCAGTAAATTCTCTCATTAATTAGCAAGTGTATTTCACTGCCATAATTAATTATTTTATCCACTTCCACAGAATCATTTAAAAATCCAGATGAACAAATTACCTGTCGATTCCAGCACGCAAGCTTTAAGCTTTGAAATTGCTGATCTTGAAGAGAAAATGAATGTGATGAGTAGAAATGAAAAGGAATTGAATCAGAAGATTCTAATGTTGAATTCGAAACTTGATGATGAGAGGAATACAAACATTCGCAATAACACATTGCTTGAGTACCGTGCTGAGTACATTAAGACACTCCAAGCTGTTGATAATGTAAATAAAGCTCGTCTCATTCTGCATGTAAAGGAACTTGAGGATACTCGCGAGCAGATTAAAGGTTTTGAGAAATTCAAGGCTGCACACAAGGAGGAGAAAGGAAATTTCAAGAAGCTTTTGAAGTCTTTGGAAACTGAAAATACAAAATTGAAGACAAAGGTTGAAATGTATGAGAAAAATAGATTCAATTATAAATGAATCTATCATTATTGACGAGATGCCATTGCTGAAAATCTGTTGTTGACCAGCTTATATGTGCGATTCGATTCATGTGTTCTGTATATAATAAAAAAATTGTAAGTATTAATTATTTTTGTGGTTTATAAGATCATTTATGGGTTAGGGAGGGGAAACAATAAGGAATTAAATGAAATTTGAGCTTATCAAACTCTATTCTGAATGTTCTGAATAGAGATTTTTGGAAAATGTGAGTTAAAAGCATGCAATTATGTTTTTCACTGAGGAGCTTGATTTAAGAAGTACTGATAAATTTGACACAGCTATCCCAAAAAAGAGCTAGGTGTTATCACAAAAAATTGTGGCTGAGTGAACATTTGAACTATATCCACCTATATCTGTAGCTTTAAGTCAGTTTTGGCCAAACTGTGTGCCATGGTACACTGATGTGCCGTAGAAATTTCTTGTAAAAGACGCGATCCACATGCTGTGTGCAACTTTGGTAATGGCTTACCCCTAAGGTGTGCCGTGTCTCAAAAAACTATGGACAACATTGCTTTAAGTCAAAGTTTGCCATATAATAGCTATGTACGTCATATGTACATATAAACCAAAGTTAAGTTAATCTATCTTAAATTTGATTTTAATCTGTTAAAAGGTGTGAGTTCGAATCCCATTTCCCAGATTTCCCAGATCATTTCCCAGCTTAATTAGGCTAGTAGACTAGCTAGATGCATGATTATGTGAAACACTAGTTGAACCTAATCTCTAGAAATTTTGACTAAGCGTTTCTAAATTGTTCTAGTGAAATAATTCCCTTTATCCCGATAAAGGAAAATACAATTTAAATTTCAATCATAATAAAGCTACAAAAGTAATTCAACAGCCCACGTAACCATAAGTCGACGAATGGAAGATTTTATGTATTACATCAAAATCTTCCATGTATGTTCCATATGTACATTCCATGTATCGTACATTGGACATTATGCTAATATGAAAAGGGACGATTTTTAGTCGATTTTACGTCGATTTCACGTCGATTATTTTTTTGAACCAAAATTAAATTTTTTTTGACCGTTACAATATAAAAACCGATTAACGGAAAAATTTTGAATTTTTTTTTGTATGAAAATATTTTTTGTTAATTATACTATAATTTAAAAGACAAAATCCAGAAAAAATTAATTAAGGATTTTGTCTTTGAAAAAAAAGAGTCGAAGTCTTCATTTAGATGAATGATTCGCATGTAAGTAATTTAACTACTTAATCACACTTTGTATGAAAATTTGGCTGTGCCTTATATAAGTGATTTCTGATTGCACTTGTGAAGTATATAGCGGCTCAAGAAAAACTAAAGTAATGGATGAAAAATCGACGTCTATTGGATCATCCAAAAAATTGTACATTTAAGTCGATTTTTTCATTGATGGCGATTTTGGTTACGTGGGAGCCCTCTGTAAAAATTTCAATCAACACATTATAGACATTTTAATTTGACAGTTTGTGTTCAGGTTATAATAAAATTGAGTGCTAATAATAAACCTCATTAATATTAAATTAAATTAATATCATAAATATTTGAAGTTAATTCGAATAAATAATTGACTATGGACTTCCACCAGAATCAGTAAATGGAATAATTTTCTAGCCAAATAATGAACTCATTAATTAAATTACATAACTTAAATGCAAATTTTCAGATGAGTGAATTGCTCATCAATCATTACTAATTAATTTCATCATTTGGGGAGGCACAACAATGTCAATATATTGTATATTAGTGCAACTATAGCTCAACAAAAATCCAAATTAAAATGAAGAATTTTCAATTATTCTAAGGCATTCTAGACATGTCCAGAAAATAACAATTCATTCGCTTGTCGGATGCTCTAATTTCAATTCCAATCATTCATTCTCATAATCGAAGACATCACACAACTCGTCGTCATTTACAATTAATTATCGATTAGAGTCCGACAACGAAACTGCATGTTTTGGGCACAAATGATTTGTGATATTGTCGGGAATGATTTTTTTTTGCTGCTGTTCCTCGTACATGATGATAAAATGTGAGTGTAAATGAAAAAAAAGCACAGAACATGAATAGACAAGAACGCAAAATGGCCATTTATTTTCATCAAAATGTTCTGGCTCTTCTTGTTGTTCTGCTTCTGATACTATTTACTCTTAATAATTATTCAAATACGATAAAATGAAATGAATGTTCATGTCTGTTTCTATTTCATTTATATGGCATCTCCTATCGATTGTTTTTTTGTTATTCTGCTTCTCTGCTAAATGATTTCTATGTAAAGTGGCTTGAGATCATTTTTCATAGTCATCATTAGACGACTATTCATGAATCTTTTATTGTAATTTTTGTCTTGATAAGAAGAAACTGGAGGAAGGCATAGGCGAAAGTTGAGGAAAATTCTTGGAACTTTGATGGTAAAATGTTGAGGAAGTGTGAGGCAATGAAGTGAGAATTTTAGCAGAGGTGTTTGTCAAAACTAGCTTGTGTAGGGAAATGGTAGTCTTACATCCTTGAAGGATGAATTTAGTATTTTTCATTTTTTTTAACCCCACCCCCCCCCACCCCTACCTCTTCCGACTTACTTGATTAGTAATGTTTCTTAGGAATCTTTCCAACCCTGTTTCATTGCTAGTGAGCCTATAGTCTATGAATTTTGGTTAAAGATACAAAAATTGAAATTATTGTAACCCCCCTCCATTCGCGTCCATACAAAACAATTCTGGTTATGTTTCTGAATAAGTACACTCTGGAACAACTTGAGATTGCTCTTAAATAGGAGGTCGATTTGATGTTTGGTTCCAGAAAAAGCTATTGAAATCGAAGACTCAAAAGCAACATTAACCAAGCAGCATCACAGCAACCCTGGAATAAAAATGAGGAAATTACATTTTCGAGTGATTAATTACAATCTAAGAAACAGTCTGTTATCATGAATTGTTGCTAAATAAGTTTTCTATTAATAGTCAAAAGCTTGAATAACAAAAAAAAAATTCTTCACTAGCATAAAGTGGCAATAAGTTGAGACATAATTTTGAAGTGTTGACTTCAAATTGACATTCAAAAGCTTGACATCTTTCCTGGGTAGCCAAATCTTCTTTTCTGATGCCAGGTGATCATCGTTAAGACTCTCATTTGGAGCGTAACTAGAAGATTTTCGATAAAGGCTTTAATTGTTTTTTTCATATTTACCAATATTTACAGCAAAACTTGCACGTTGGGGTTGAAATCGTTTTTAAAAAATTCTACTAAATTGAGGAATTATTTCCAGGGGTGTAGACAGAGAAAAGTCATGCAGCCCCACCCATCCTTCCACAAAAAAAAACTGTCTACGCCCCTGATTTTTCCTTCAAGGATTAACTCTAGAAAAACCCTGACTAAGCCTCCTTCACTTCTTATGTTTTATAATAAACACGATTTCTTGTCGGTACTTAGGGTCAATTTTTAAACTTATCTGAGGACTTATACTCTAGTCTGTGACTATTTTCATTAAAACTTCAACTAATAATGACATAAAACTGCTTGGGAAAGCAAAGAAATATTAAATTTAATAATTTTTGTCATTACATCCTCAAGACAAGATTCTCATAAAATTTGCCAGATGTCATGAAGACAAAAGTAAATCAGCTATGGGATATTAAATGACAGACTTACCCAAATTATTCGAAATTCTAACTTGAAGGTATTTAAACATAAAGTTACACAATGTGAGTAACATTTACATTAGGGATTTCAATACCGGGCCAAAATTTCAATTCCGGGATTACGATATTGGAAATTGTTGATCCAGGGATCCCGGTTTTCGGGATCCCGGTATTGAAATCCTTAATTTACATCAAGAGATCACCCACACAAGCCAAACCCCAAATTTGTTTTTTACATATCAAAGTTAAAAGCTTTTTTTTGAGGAACATTAGGTTTAAGCAAGAACAAGAAGAATCAAAATGGGGGAAAAACGAAGTACAAAACATGTTTATTTTATCGTAACATGAGAAGCATAAATACAGTTTTAATGCATGTTTTATGTTTCAGCTTTACCGTTTGTTCCGTTTTGTTTTCTTCTGTGCTCATCCTCCTTCTCACATGACTTTCAATCTCATCGTTGTGTTTTTATTGCTTTTTACTATTGTTACTCTTTAACTTACAGCAATGATGATTTTTGTGTTTTGTTTCCATACTTTTTTTTATGAGCAAATTTGCAAGCATGAAAAGCGAAAATCTGGTATTGTGTGGAGTTGCTTATTATGGCAGCTCATATGAATGGATGGAAATATTCTCAGTATGAATGCGATATAAAGCATTTTTAAGGCTCTTACGATATCGTACTTTATCATATTTAACTCGCTTTTACATTCCTTTATTGCTTTTTCGTGCCATCTTCCTTCTTATTCTGCTTGTGTCTCCGCTTTAGTTTGCAGTTTTTAGAGCATTGCCATTTGGGGGTTTGTTTGAATGTGATGTAAATTAGAACATATCTAGAGAGTAAGGTTGGTTGCAAAGTATTCAGTAAACCAAGCAACGCACTAAACTTTGAATTATGATTTTTTGACGTCACCAGTGAATGAACCCTTACTTTGTAAAGTAAAAAAATCAATAAAAAATTTTTTCATGCACTTTCCAAGGAAGTGGCAATAAAATCAACAGCCAACGACTGCAAACAAAGAAAACTTCAGTTGGATTCGAAAAATTTAAACTGAAATTCGAAAAATTTCGAACTGTTTCGAACTATTAAATTTTTTAAAAAATAAATGATCGTTAGGGAATCAATAAAAATATATTTTTTATAGTTATTTTTTGAAGCAAAATTATTCCTTCTAACTTTGAAATTGTAATTTTACTCTAAATTCAGCAAAAACTTTTAATAATTTATCAATTGTATCTTGACAATGTTCAAAATCGACTTCAATTTGTGCAATTACTGTATTGATGAATTTCTGGTTAAAGGAAGGATCAGAACATAAGGTAAAACAATTAAGCTGTCTATAAATAAATTCAAGAATACACAAGAAATGTTTTTTTTTCACAGCAATCAACAGCAATATTCAATATTATGCAATTTAAGAAATTCAATCCACTTATCT